TTTTTGTAACCACATACTTTCTAATTTCAATTTTATAATTTTAAAATACAAATTCAAATTTAAAACTTTAAACTTTAAACTTCAAAGTTTAATCTAAGCTTTAAAAGTTTGCAAACACTTAAGTATCAATAACATTGAATAGGAAAAAACAAAATTTAATGAAAAAAAAATTACAGTAGCCCGGCCCGCTCGAACCCGTTAAGCCGGAACCTGAACGGACCCTAAATAACCCGAAAAAGTTCAACCCGCCCCCAACCCGTTATCTCAGCCCGTTAACCAACCCGATCCGATAACGGACGAGCTGGTTTTTTTTCCGTTCAACCCGTCCCAGCCCGCACGATAAACACCTATAGTTCTTATGGATAACATCTGGTAGAAATTAAGTGGCATGGCTATCTAGTATTTTAATTTCAAATGCAGAACTTTTCAGTATTACCCCCCCCCCCCCCCCCCCCAAAGGTCAAACATATTTGCCTTCCCTTTTTTTTTTTTTCTTTTTCCGGTTGTTGCTTATCATGGATCAGATTGACCATCTTTTTAGCTAACACAGCTTTTTTTTTTTGTTTTTCACCGGACTGATTCATTCGTGAGAAAGAATCAAGTAGTTAAAAGATTGTAATTATCATTGTAGAGGTCCAACAAATCTTAAAATTTATGGATTTAAACCTATAATTTATTTTAATTTTAATAAATTTTTACATATAAATTTATGTTATGCGTCTGAAAAGTATTGGATAATCTGACAGTATTACTTTATATCTGCCCCTAAGAAATACACTCAAAAAATTTAAACTAGAACTTACTTAATCTGACTGCCGACAAGTGAAATTGGGGAGGCAACAATCATTTGAGAGAGAGAGAAAACATCTCTTAAATAATAAGATTGGATAACGACGTATAACTTCTATTTCTAGAAAAGCCCTGGCTTTACCCTTATAAATAGGGCAGCATTTTGCATCAGAGTACGTTGTGAGCCTAGCTCTAAATCCTTTGGCTATTATATAGTTCAGCTACAACTATCAATGGAGTTGCATCACCATTACTTCTTCATACTTCTTTCTGTGAGTAAAATATTCTTTTCTCTCTTTATTTAAATGTATTATGAAAATTAATTAAGAATCTGATGAACACTTAATTGTTCTTCATCGTTATGTTTTAGCTTGCTTTTGTGGCAAGTCAAGCAGCTAATTTATCTCCTGAGGTCTATTGGAAAGTTAAACTTCCAAACACTCCCATGCCCACGCCTATCAAGGAAGCCCTACACTATTCTGGTAATTAGTCTTCAACTCAACTGATTCCTTTGTGAATATTCATCTCACAACAGTTATTATTATTATTATTATTATTATTATTATTATTATTATTATTATTATTATTATTATTATTATTATTATTATTATTATTATTATCTAAGTGACGGTTCATTGTACAAAGTTACTCTTCTAATTGTCACTTAAACATCACCAGCTAAACCCTGGTTAACTAAAAAATAATTGGAAAGATAAAACAAGTTGGAATTAATAAATTTTGTATCGGAAATTTGAGGTCGAATGTGGCAAATCCACTTTAATAATATGCGCGTGAATTCATCCTTCTTGAAACTAATACTAAATTCGGAAAAGGATAAAAGATGCTCCTCAGCTATGGGAAATATAAAACATTATCCTGATTTTGAATTTGACTTCAGACAATGACCTTATCATTTGTGGATTGGTTCAGATTTGCTCCTCAACTATGAAAAATAAAGCAAATGTACCTTGATTTTGAATTTACCTTCAAACATGCCCTTATCATTTGTGGATTGGTTCAGATTTGCTCCTCAACTATAAAGGAAACTGAACAAATTTACCCTCCATTTGAATTTGGATCCCAGTATGCCCTTATTAGGAGCGGGCTAGCTCATATTTACTCTTCAAAACTAACATTCTGTAATTTTTCTGATCAACCATTTTATTTTAGGGACAAAATTTTTATTTAACTTTTATTTCTAAAACAACGAGAGAAAATAAAATGAAGGAACGAAAAAAGAACATGTAGATTTCGTTGTTCAGAAATACATATATTAACAGCAGTGATCTACAAAACCTTCTTGTTTGCACAAAAGGTAACAAATAAGTCTTCTCTTTTATAAGTTCTGTCTTTGTGAAGATCAGTATTCTCTCGTTTATGCAATTGCAATTATCAGGAGCGGCCCGACTAACTTTGTGGCCTAAAGCTAAACTTTATGAGGGGCCTTAACCTTGTTTTTTTTGTAAAATTATTTATTTATTTGAAGTCTATTTTTTTAGCGTTTCTTAGATACAAAGTTATTAATACTTTTCATATAAACAATAAATCCTAATAAATCTTTCTTAATTGACAATATAATTAATCTATTTAACCAGATTGTTGATCTTAGGTGAGATTTTATCAATTTTAATTTTGATTTTTTTTTGCTAAAACAACGAAAACAAGAGTTATTAACAATATTCCATAAGTATTATGGGCATTGGAAAAAGAATCAAATTTTTTATTTGACCCAGTGTATCAATTAAACTGTTATCTTCTATTGTACTATATATTTTTCTTAATATTTTTAGTTCTGAAAATAAATCTAAATCATCAATATTGAATTGATTATTATGCTTTAAGAACCATTTAACATTAAGGCAATACCTTTTCAAATTTTCATCATCTAGTGATCTTAATTTTTACACACTAAATAGAAAACCAAAAATATTTTCATATGCTTCGAATTGTGCAAATCTATTTTGAAGTGAAAACAATATCCTTGTTTTATTATGTATAAAGTAATCACCTCCAAAGGACTCTTTGAAAGATTTTGAGATTTTATTATCAACATTCTAATCAAATTGTTACTTTCTATATATCATACATTTTTTACGATATTCGGGTTCGATATTTATTTCAAGTGCAATTTTCTTGGCAGAAATCATAGCAACTGCAAATCCTTTTTCTCTATACTTGTTAAAGAAAGAAATCAAACTTTTTCACTTCGCAAAACCTTTTTTTAAACTTATACATAGCCTATTAGGTGTCATAAAAAATGGAGCCCCAATGTGGAGCCTAAAAAAGAGATACCTTACTTGGTTTATGGAAGAGCCACCTTTGGCAATTATATGTGAGTTCTTGAAGATTATCTATTTTCTTATGAAACAATTATTAATTTTCTAGAATTTGTATTCTGTTTAATTGTTGTTAAAATTCAGGAAAGTAAAAAAAAATTTAAATAGGGGAAAGACGGGAATATGATGAGCAACTATTTGTTTCCGATTGTTTTAACTACTTCGGGTACATGTAATTATTCTTTTGGTTACAAATTTTTACCAGAACTTTTTGGGTTAAAATTTATTGTCTTGCAAGGTGGCCTTCCATCTTGATAATATGATATATTTTAAATGAGTAAAAATAAGAAGTTGAAGTCCGTTAAAACACTCATGATAAGAGCATATTTATGAACGAAGTCAAACAGATGACAAATTTATTCTATCTCCCATTGAAGGATAAATATGAACAAATTTAGTAGTTATAAGGGCATATTTTATTTAAGACCAAATTGAACATAAATACAACTTTATTCTATTTTCCATAATTGAAAGCATTTTTTACCCTTTTCCGTACAAAATTTTCCGTATAACTCTAGTTGAGGTTTATATTCCTACAACCTTTATTCTAATCATTGTGAGTGCTGTTATTGTTTTTGTTTTTGTTATTGATATTGTTATAATTAAGGCGCAGAACTGTGAGTGCTTTATATTGCATAGCTGGTGCGCTAATCAATTTCTGTACGTATGAATATCTTTAGTTATTCAAAACGTTTCTACGAATGAAACTCATCAATTTGGATCAAAACTGTATGAAACTAGAGGATAGATACGCTTCACAAATAATGCGCCAACAATTTTCCTAACCGACGTCTTTAATTTCTTTACTACACTCAGAGAACTGAAGAACTATATAACGAAAGATAGTTAAACAGACTTTTAATTTTTATTTTCTCAGTTTCTTCCAAATCACGGGGGCACAAAAATATGAATGCAGAAAGGGAAACTATTGTAGTAAATGATTCAACTCATGTACGTTGATAGTATAAAGGATCTTTATACTATTAGTGTAATTTAATCTCTTATAAAAATGCCTTCTTTTTTAAGTTACTAATTTGCTTTTATGAGTAATTACTTGTAATATTTTTTAGATGACTTGATAGTTTGAAAGTATTTTATACATTCAATATACAATATTAAACTCTTATGAAAAAAGTGGAAAAAGTGAATTGAAGAGTTTTTAATAATGTCAATTAGTTTGAGAAAGCAAACATATCTTCCACCTTCTATTTGGATTAAATGAGAACCAAATTAACTCTATAATGATGGTTTGCCACCTAGCTCGATAGCAGCAAGATCACCACATTTTTTTTAAAACAGAAATATTATTTCATTTCACAAAAAGAGGTGGTGATGTAACCACAGGTATACAAACGAGGTCCAAAGGATCTAATCAGTTAAGCTCCCCAAAAAGATCTAATGAACAAATAGAGAATCTTGTAGTGGCGTCTCTATTCGTTCATCTATATCTGTCAACCAATCCATGTATATTTATGTCTGATTCTAGTATTAGCCATTTCTGTACAGTGCATACTCTACACTCCCTATATTGCTAAAGGACTCCACATCACTTGCCTAAATCTGTCCGTTATTGAACTATAAAGATCTAGCTTGAATTAACACTGATTATTTTCAATTACTTTTGTTGGCCGGCAGAGAGAACTTCCAATAATAAAAATGGAAACACTAGAATGACCCAACCTTGGGGAGTGTATTCGTGGTATCAAGCTGCCGAAAAGGATAACCTGCCCAGAATGATCCAACCTTGGGGAGTGAATTCGTGGTATCGAGCTGCCAAAGAGAATGACCTACCCAGAATGTCCCAACCTTGGGGAGTGTATTCGTGGTATCAAGCTAGCCGAAAAGGTATAACCTGTCCCAGAATCGAACTCCAACCGTGGGGAGTGAATTCGTGGTATCAAGCTGCCAAAGAGAATGACCTACCCAGAATGTCCCAACCTTGGGGAGTGTATTCGTGGTATCAAGCTACCGAAAAAGATAACCTGCCCAGAATGAACCAACCTTGGGGAGTGTATTCGTGGTATAATGGTGCTACTAAGAAAGATATTAATGAAAACCACCCAGTCACCCCTTACTTCTTTGAAACAGATTTACATCAAGGAAAAAAAATGAATCTTCCATCTCTCAAGAACCACAACCCAGCTCCCATTTTGCCTCGCAAAATTGCAGATTCCATCCCTTTCTCATCGGACAAAATGGAGGAAATTCTTAATCATTTTTCCGTCGATAAGGACTCAGAAGTTGCTAAAATGATCAAGAAAACAATCAAAATGTGCGAGGAGCCAGCGGGTAATGGAGAGAAAAAATATTGTGCCACTTCCTTGGAATCAATGGTTGATTTCGCCACATCTCACCTGGGAACAAACAATATTATAGCTCTTTCTACTGAAGTAGAGAAAGAAACTCCACAGGTGCAAATATATACCATCGAAGAAGTGAAGGAGAAAGCAAATGGCAAAGGGGTGATATGCCACAAAATAGGATACCCATATGCAGTACACTTTTGCCATGACGTAGGAAGCACAAGGACTTTTATGGTGTCAATGGTGGGTGCTGATGGAACAAAAGTTAATGCAGTAGCAGAATGCCATGAGGATACTTCATTAATGAACCCTAAGGCATTACCTTTTCAATTGCTCAATGTTAAGCCGGGAGATAAGCCTATTTGCCATTTCATTTTGGACGATCAGATTGCCCTAGTTATTCCTTCTCGTGATGGAACTCAAGTGGCTGAGAACTAGCATGCAGAAAATTCAGTCATCTTATGTAATATGTGGTTTTAGTGGTTTGCATGTATAATAATGGATGTTGTGATGCAAGTACTGTTTAACTTTGTTATTCACGGTTAATCAAGTATTATGTATGCATGTGTTAATAGAAGTGATCCGCATTTTAATATATGTCGTTAATGTATGTATGTGTCAATGAAATTACTGGGTTTTTTAACTATAACTATTTTTCCGAAAGCTATATTAGTGGTGGAAGAAGATTGCCACGATTAGTAGCTCTTCTCTCTAGTGTGATTTTTCTCTCAGTTTCGACTGTATGACAAGAAAAATGAACAACGGAGGGAGATGGCAACAAGTTCAGGTGAGTAATCACAACAACAATCCAAGCAAGAGGAGCGTTTTGCAATAAGGTGAGGTGATGCGAAGAAAACTCGAAATTTCAGGTCATATTAGGAACTGTACCGCTAGGGCTAAGACAAGTATCTACTTCGATGACTCCGGTGATGACTCGGACGATGAATTCCCCAGCAACAGTAAATTCAACTCCTACATGACTAGAACAATCGAGACCATCATGGGCGAATATGGTGGGAACAGAAAGTGAAGGGGAAATTTGTTATGTCCAAAACCCAAGGGCTATGGAGAAATCCAGCGCTCATTCGTGGAGTTAGATAGTCGTACCTATACCGGAAGTGGAAGGCTTCAATCTGAGTAGTGGTGAAGCTAGTAATGAGAATGTTAAAATAACAATTGATGACATCAAAGATGAAATTACATATTGGAAATCGGCAGTTATCTGCTACGTATTAGGGTCGAATCCACTACTACCTATAATTGACAATTGTTTCAAAAGAATTTGGGGACTATGGGTATAGAAAAGGTCGCGCAAGTAAATCGAGATGTCTTCCCGGTAAGTAAAGAGAAGGTGGATAAGATACATGTATGGATGTGCTTAAGCGGATTAGATATCAAGTATTGAGGGAAAGCAGAGTTGACTATGTTTACCGTGAAAATGGTAATAACAATTAAATTTAATTATGGGACTCAAAAAATACGTGATCTATTTTTATGCTAGTTGTTAAGTAGTTGATGCTATGTATGTGAGACTTAGAAACGAAATAAGAGTTATGGATAAGGTGATAACCAAACCAATAGGCGAACAATCGGGGCCTCGAGCTTGTCGATTCGGGGGCCTCGAGGTCGATCCAAGAGCTCGACAATGAACTATCGAAGGTGGTCAAAGTACGACTAACAGTTATAATAAAATCAACGAAGGCTCTTTATGGCTAATGATAAGCAATAAATGACGAACAATGATGAAGATAATAAATGGAACAATAATATCAAGTGAATATGTTAGAAAGCAGAGAGAATGTTCTTGTATATTTCGTGTGGAGCAACTGAAGTAACAGAGATTTACAAAGTGATAGGGATTGCCTTTATATAGGAAGGGAATCCCAACATAGTACAAAGTGCATTAATTACAAAGATATGGAGAAGGGACCGCTAGATGACACCCTGATTCAGGTTTAGAGTAGTCCACTAGGCTCTGTCAGTCCTAGCCGTATGCCTTGGGAACTCCCCATTTCTACCATTTTCGTGATCATTACTACCCTGAGGTCGACCGTCGACGACCCTCGAGGGAGGATACTCAGCCGTGGCCTCGAGCCTTCGAGGTGATCTTCCGAAGTGCCTTAATGATGAGAAATTGGACCCTCCCATTTTGCCGTATACAGATAATCCCCGCATTTCCTAGAATGAAGCGATTGGAAACGATTTTGATCTTCCATTCCGAGGGATCATCATCATGACGTCAGCCGATCAGAGCATTAAATGCCATGGGCAAAAAACCGCGCAAGGGTCGCCATCAAACGCGACTATCAAGAAGCCCACGAACCGCTATTAGCTCGTCCCTTCCGCTGCCTATACGGCTCCTATAAATGCACCAATTGTTGGATAATTCTTACTTTTCCAACATCTTCAAATTCGCAAAGCCATACCCATCCCTTTTTGAATTCTTTCTTCTTACTTTCTTAGAGAAATTTCACCACCGTTATGGCTAGAACCTCCAAGACGGTTCCTCGAAAAGACGAGGTTGCCTCTTCATCTCGAACGTCTAAAGGGAAACCAAAAGTGATACCCACCTTAGGACAATGCACTCCCACCGAGCTTGACATGTTGAAGGACTTTACCGACGATAAAACCTCATCTACACTGGGCCGATGCGAACACATGTCCCGGTACATTAGTGTTGTGACCAACATATGGAAGGTGAAGGAAGACTGTCGATGGAAGGAGGCAGTGGAGTTGGAGATTCCCCGCCCTGATGAGAACATAACAGATTACAAGGCTAGTTTCCTTCATGTATATACTTACCCGTTCACTTTGGTTCCGGTCGATCCATCTAAATCCCCTCCCCCGGAGATAGATCCGATTATCCTCAATTTTTGTGACAAATACCAAGTGACGCTTGGTCAAATCTATCCTTTTTTCTGGAGGATAGTCTTGATGCTACGTCCGATGGGGTCGATGGCGAGACCTTTACCCTTAATCATTTGATTAGGATGTACATCCCTCGAATTTATCGAGGTTTGATTAGGCTTCACCACCGATCCAAAAAATTGTTTTTCTCGAGCATTGACAAGGACAAAGATCGAGGACGGATGATTAGGTTCGTCCGGGTGAAGACCTCGGACATCATTCCGGTCGGGAGGATGCCTTTCCCGGAGAAGTGGAACACACATTGTAAGTATTTTTTCCCTCGGACATATTTTGTGATTTCCTTTCCTTTCTTCCGAAAAAATGATCTCTTTTTGGTTTCTGCAGCTACCGCTTGGTATCCCGAAGCGATCTCAGATCTGCCGAGATGGATCGGGCGGTTGGATACCTCGTTCCCATATCTTGTCCGGTCTTGGTCCGACCTGTTTAAGAAGCGGTGGGTGGCCAAGAATCATGGTAATGTTTCCCTTGACACATAGGTCTTAGCCTTATGTTTCTCCCTGTATCTTTTGTGCTGATAAGTTATGGCCACCGCGCTCGTGCAGGCCTTGGCGAGAATATGCTGATGAGACCGCCTCCTGGTGGCGAGACAGAGACTTCGGAGCCCGCTAAGGGCAAGAAAAGAAAGGGAAGAGGCTGCCGGTTCCCCGGTGACAAAGAAACCTAAGTGTTGCAGGCCTCAAGCCGCCATTAGGATCTCGGCTTCAGCTTCTGAAACAAGCCTCGGCACTGGGGACGAAGACGATAATGAGAGCGAGTGTCGTTTGGAGCAGACACCGAGGTCAGGCGCGGGAGTCTTGTAGATGCCTCGACCAGAAGCCACTGAATCGGGAACGGCCGACTCAGGTTGGTCCCATGCGGCGAAGACCCTTGAGGAGGGTGTTAATGTGGTTCCAGATCCCGTGGTCGGATGTGGTGCAATTTCTACTAGGGGGACCATTGCTGCCTGTCCCGAAGGGTCTGGACCCGGAGCTTTTCGGGGGCAGGAGTTTCCCATCGGGGACATCGATAACCTAGGTGATTTCAGTTCTGGCCTTCGGTTCTCGTCAGGGGAGCTAAGGGAGACTCAGGATATGAACACCGCCAAAGAGGGGAGTCCTCTCAAGGGGGGAGGCGCGCTTGGCAACATTCTTGACGATGTTAGCGAGAACATCGATCTCGATTCTCCCGGCGCCGTCAAGGCAGCGGAGAATTTCCTACAACAGGTGATAGCTGTTTTACGTGTATTTCTTTTAGTCTCGAGCATTACTCTTCATTCTTCTAATTCCTCTATTATGCCGTAGTGTAAGGAGAAGTATGATCATGCCCTTTACAGGCTCCATGAGGAGCTTTTATGTCATGAAAAGGGGCGTGAGAGGCTTACCTCGGGGCTGGAGAGTCGGAGGCTTACTCTGCCCGAAAGGAGAAAGAGTCAGGAGAGCTCCGGGCTGCTTGGAGGGAGCGCTCTGGGAAAAGGCTGATCTTGCTGAGCAGGTATTTTGCCATGCATGAATCCGCCTTTCGCTCCTATAGTTCGATACTTACTGGCTTACCTTTCTCTTTGCAGATCGGGCAAAAGAATTCGTAGATTGGGCAATTGAGAGATCCTCGGGCTGAGGGAGAAAAAAGAGGTAGCAACCTCGGAGTTGGCAATTATCCATGGCCTTCTCCAAAATGCTCAAAAGGAGATTGCTGCGCTGGTTGCGGCCAAGTCCAAGACTGAAGGAAATGTTGCTACTTATCTGAAGGACGCAGCCACAGCGAACAAAATATCCTGTAACATATCGATAGAGGCTGAGCTAAAACTGGCTCGGGCTATCGATCATGCTAGAGCAAAGGCGAGGAGGGAAATCTTGGAGGGGGTTGGAGCCAGAGGTATCGATCTTTCAGCTGAGATTGAGGAGGACCGAGAATCGGAGAGAAAGTCGGTGCTCTTGATCGCTCCAGATGAGGATCCTGGAAATGGTTCAGAGGATAGTGGCAATGAATAGTAGACCTTGTGTCGCTTTGCTCTTTTTATTTTTTCTTTGCGTACGTACTCCTGGGGAATGGGTCTTGTAAAGACGCCCCTTGTAAATATATTTTTGGCAATGCAAAGGGTTTTTCTGCTCCAAGTCTTCCCATTCTTTATATCTCGCTGCTCTTGCGGAGTTAACCTTTGAATTTTATCATTAGCTCTTTGGAGCCCGTGTACATGGAGCGATCGGGACCCTGAAATCGGGTCCTGTCTTGAAGTTAGGTCGACAGCTTCTTTGGGGCCGGTGCTTGTGATCGAGAAACCCCCGAGGTCTCAATACCTCTTAAATTTTGCGGGATAGCAGCATTCGTACGATTTGACAATGGGACCCTGGGGTGGTCCTGCCAGTACATTTCCCAAGAAAAAGCTGACGTTTAATATGGCCAGAATTAATTGGCCCTCTGGGTAGGCGAGCAGCCGCTGCTTTGCCCCTATTTTTTCGTTCACTTTCCTCTCAAGTGGAGATTCTGCTACTCTAAGTAACTATCTTTTCCATAGAACTTGGTGCTTTGTGCTAGTTCTCCCGTAGTTTCAACTCAAAATCTCTGCCTAAATCTATACCCTCCTCTTTTTATCGTAGCCATGACTGCTACGTTGACATCCGCTCATCAAAGAGAGGGAAGTTCTGCCTCTATTCCGCGTCCGGTCGGTGGTACACTGCCGGTGCCCGGTGAGCGGGCCTCGAGGTG